AAGATGAAAGATGGTTTGTGGAGCCAAAAAGAGGAGGGTTGGGAGGAAAGAAGAGGGGCTAGGTGGAGGGGGAAAGCTCAGAAAGCAAGTGCTGAAATGCCTGTGAGGCAAAAGCAGGTCTCGGCTTTCCCTTAGGCTGCTGGAGGGGTTAGAAGCCATAGGGAGCAGCCCAGGCTGTGGAGATGGAGCCTCTTCTTGTGGCCTCCACATGGGTCCAGGCACAGAGCTAGGCCAGGGGGACTTAATGGCTGAAGAGAGCTCGGCTGGTCCTGACACAGTGGCCTCGCTGCCCTGCCTCGTCCTGATGGTGAGACCTCTCTCTGGGGGGATCGGCAGCTTTCACCTGCCTGGCCCCGCAGACCTGCTCCAGCACCTCCCTCTCGCAGCAGCTCTGAAGGGTGGCAGCTACTCTCAGATGAATGACCAGAAGTGCTCAAGGGGAAATTGAGACACGGTTAGCCAGTCTTGGGGGGTTAGTGGGGCCCATGAAATGACCTTCACTGCTATCATCTCTTTGCTCTCTGCTTGCTATTTTTGTTGTATTTGGTCTCTTACCCTGCTTGCTGCTCACATATGTTTGCTTTAACAATAATAAGTAATCTCAAAGAAACCACTACTCAGTAAAAGGGCTAGATCAGCTTTGCCTTAAGCTGAGAAAAAGAGAAGTGATTCTCTGTAACCCAGAGCCCCAAAGCCAAGCCCAACTGATATGCAGGGACAAGAGGCAGCTGCGTCCCCCAGCTCTCACCCGGCAGCCACTGCAAGGGGAAATGCAGTGCAGCAGCAGAGGCTGTGTGGAGCCCTTGTGCGGATGGATGGCTGGGAGGCCTCCCCACCCCAGCAGATCGAGCTGCTGCTAGATCAAAAGCACAGCCACAAGCAAGAGCAAGAGAAGAAAACAAGAAAACCACACTTCATGAAAGGCACGAGAACGTACTGAGAGAGGGAAATGGCCTACTCTGCATTAGGAGTGGTTGCTGCGGGTTTTTTTTTGTAGGTGTTTTTTTTTTTAAATTTCATTTTCCTCCTGTGTCATGCTGGTGCCAGCCGGGGGGAGAGTTCTCTGCAGCCATCTCCCGCTGGGGCTTGGTGCTGGAGGGAGCAATGGGCTGCAGCCCCTGTCCCAAGCAGATGTTCTCCAGGCCAGACTTGGTCCTGCAGGCATCATTCCCCGCAGCAAGACTGCGCACTACCTCAGCTCTTCTTTTCCTATCCCTCAGAGAAGCAGGTGTTATTAAAATAAGTCAAGAAGGAAATGAAACCAGTTTAATAAGAGGGGGAAGTTAAAATGAAATGGAAATCAATATTCGCTTGGGAGGGAGCCCTGCTCCTCTGTCACTAGACGTGCTAACAAATCAAATATGTCTGGACTGTTTCTGGCACAGAGGCCAACTGGCATGAGATGGTCTGGGCTATTAAATTCACTTAACCTCCAAACTGGCTACATGCCAGCTGCCTAATGTGAGTGGTCCGTGGCCCATGCTAACACCTAAATGCATCCTGGGAGTTGCTTAAGAGACTGAGAGTTGTCCTGGGCCAAAAATGTGTCAGAAAAAGTTCTAGCAATTTAACAGGACTGATGAGTGTGTTCCAGTGCCTGGGGTCATTCCCTGACACCACTTAATTTATGAGTACCACCATAAGATACAGCTGAGCTGCTTGTAAGGAGGCTATGGGTCTGCTACAGGCATCTTCTAATGAGAGCAGCTTGCTCAGTTAACATAGCTCACCGAGATCTGTAAACTCCAGAGCGGCATCGCCTGTGATCTGGCCTGGAGGGATACAGAAGGAGATAGAAAGACAGGGGAAAAATAAGTAGCATTCACGAGAAGCAGAGTGTCATGGTTTGAGCCCACCCAGTTGGCTCCCAAAGCACCACGCAGTCACTCACTCACCCCTACCCTGTCCCCTGATGGATGGGGAGGAGAAAATGTAACCAAAAAGTCTAGAGGGTACAGACAAAGGACAGGGAGGGCTCACTCACTAGTTATGGTCAGGGGCAAAAGACAGTCTCGGAGATAACAACATACATTTAATACAAACAACCACCACCATCAAGGAAAATGAGAAATACAACCAGGTCTTAAATACAACACACCTTCCACCCCGCACCCGGTCTTCCCGGGCTCAGCTCTGCTACCTCTGTCCCCTCAGCAGCGCAGGGGGCAGGGAATGGGGGTTACAGTCAGTCCAGCACAAGGTGTCTCCGCTGCTCCTTCGTCCTCAGAGAGAGAGGTCCTTGCAGTCCTCCCCTGCTCACCCATTACCAAAACTGTGCCAAAACCCCTCCAGACACCAAACCACCACACAGAGACAAACAGGGAGAGCGAAACCGTATGAAAGAAATGCTAGCTGAAGGCAACTCATTTTCCCCACTGACTTGTAATATGTAGGTGGTAAACATCATATTGTAGAGATCTGCCACAGAAATACAAAGATTAGTGTGAATGAAGTAGGAATGCAGAACATGTGAAACCACGAGAAGAAACAGAAAAACAAAGATGCATCAATTTGCATCTACCAAGCTGCCCAAGGTCAGCAGTTCACTAGTCCCACGGTGCTGTGGTTGTGTGGTTTTGCTCAATAACCAGGTACAAAGAAGGAGAAGAACAAACTGAAGCCATAAGTTGACAGGAAAATAGAGATTCTGTCATAGTTCAGCTCTATCCCAGCTGAAATCAGGACAGATTGCCAGACAAAACAAAATGATGGTCTGTGACTCAGCGATTCCATTAATTTTTACCTGTTCCATTAGCTTCATGTTTTATGTAAAGTTCAATGACTTAAAATATTTGAAATCCAGCACTAACCCTGTTAATTTGTAGATGCCACTTCAGAGCGGGGGCTGACTTTTCCTGCTCGTCCCACTGGGACAAGTGATGCAAGCATTCACAGCAGAGATGAAGTTTCTTCTGTTGTTTCAGGAATGGATCTTATTCAGGGCCCCTACGCCAGTTCTCAGTTATAGATGTTTCTTCAGAGTGAGATGCATACAGATGCCTTGTTGTTGCCCCTTTCTTTATTCTGTAGCATAGCCCAGCAAACTGCTTGATCACTGCTACTGCATCTTATTAGAAGTGATCTCCAATCGCACGCACAGGCTCCTTTGTTTTACTGTTTTCACACAAAACAGCTCGTGCAAATATTCCCTGGGGCTGGGATGGGTTTTTTGCTTTCACGAGGCAAGGCACAAATCTTCTCTGACTGTGTCTTTGCCATCTATTTCTCCTCTGATGGTGCACGTGGCTGCTGCCTTGCACTTGCACCTGTGTTTTTCATATGTGCACGTATATACATCTCTCTAGCTGTCAGATTGTTGGTCATGCTGACCTGATCGCCATGTAAACATAGTGCTGATATTTTCATCTACTCTTTGATAGTTTCATGTGCTCTGATAATTTAAATTAATTTCAAATTAGATTATCCACTTATAGAATATATTACACTTAATATTGCAAATAATACATACTAATATCGTATAAAATTATTCTTGCATTTCTTTTTAGTTCAATCCCATTATGTCTCCAGCCTTCAGTCATGCTCTTGGCATGGGGAGTGCCTGCTTTCAGAGAAGTGAGGTCACCTCACTGTCTTTGCTCTCTCCCCAGACCAGTTAACCTGCTTGGCTTCCTTTTTGTGATATATGCCTTGGTTTAGGGATGGAGAGCTCAGTAGTTTCCTTGCACCAGCAGCCATAGTCCCCTTCACCTTGTCAGCCCACCCAGCTGCAGCTGATACCATCAGTTGGTCTCTGCTACAGTCAGATACTTCACCTAATTTGATAACTCCCAGTTCCCACTCAAGGTTCTGTTACTATCAATGCAGCTTCTTTTGGACCTCATTCCTTCCTTCTCCCTAGACTTTTTGTTGAATAGTCCTAAGAATCCGAGCAAGCCTTTCCAACATCAGACTTGTCGTTATTGAGATTTCTAAGGTAAGAAATAAGTAGACAAAAAACAAACTAAAGAAAAATACTAATAACATAACAGCCTAAAGATGGCCTTAATCATAGAACCACAAAATCACCCAGAAATATTCAGATGACAAGGAATCTCTGGAGATCTCCAGTCCAACCCCCTACTCACAGCTGGGTTGGCTCTAAAACTACAACACGTTGCTCACAGCCTTGTGCAGGGAACTTCTGAACATCTCCAAGGGTGGAGATTGCCTGGCATCTATTCCAATGCTATTCAGCATCTATTCCAATGCTGAACCACCTTCAGCAGAAAGAAGTTTTTCCTTATATCTAGTCAACAGTTCCTTGCTGCAACCTATGGCTGCTGCCTCCTGTTCCTCTCCTGTGCACATCTGAGAAGAATGTGTCTCCTTCTTCTAGGTAATATCCTTTAGATAACAGGAGACTGAAATTAGATCTCACCTTGGCTCTCTTTTCCCCACCAAACACAGTTTTCTGTCTCTCCCTGTATATTGTGTGCTCCAACCTCCTCACCATCCCAGAAGCCCTCCATTGGACTCTGTCCAGTTCATTTGCATTCATCTTGTACTGGGGGCCCAAAACTGGATCCTGTATGCTAGACGAGACCTCAGGTGTGCCAAATAGAGGGAAATAATTACATCCCTCAGCCTGCTGGCTGTGCTTTCACTAATGCAGCCCTGCGTGTGTTTAGCCTTAATTGCTGCAAGAGTGATGATAACCCACCATAGAGAAGTAAAAAAGCACAGAACTCTTGGCAATATAAACAGCAGCAGTCCAATGAATGCCAGAAACCTAGGGATGAGTGAAATGAAATGTTTAATACCAAACTCTAGGGGGAACATTGCAGCTGGATTCTTTGCTGAAACACAGGGCTCTGGTGACTTTGCCAACGAGTTTCCACTTCACTGCGCTGAAGGGTGGTGGGTGCTGATTGGGAACAGGGGCCCTATGTGCCGAGATTTGAAAATCAGCCATTATTAACAGAGCATTTGTGCCTTCCAGGATAGCATCCCTTGGCAGTGACAGCACTTCCAGCCCTGCAGTCCATAGCGTTCCTGCAGTGATGGAGTCAAGCGGCAAGGTGGTGAGCAGCACATTTGCCATCTTCTTGGTTCTCCGTCTGGGTGAGTCCTTGGCTCAGCGAACGCTCACAGTTCTTACAGCCTTTCCACAAGCCTCACAACATTTGGGGTGTTTTCAGGTTCCTCCCAGTTTGCCGTATAACACACTGCACACAGTTTAGAGCAGGCTCTAAATTCTAGCCATGAAGCTGTGACAGCTGCCTTCTTACCTTGCCTGTCCTGCCCCTGCAATGCTCAACAGCTCTCTGCAGGGCCATGCAGTGGAGATCAGAACAGACAGGCTAGAAGCTGAGAGGCTCCCTATATCCACATCCTGTTATTTCAGAGGCAGCATGGACAGCTCAAGCCTTGGGCCTCAGGTTGTTCCTGGCCTGCCTGCTGAGCCTGCCAGCCAAAACCAAGGTGTCTGGAGCATCATCAAGTTTGGGGAGCTGCCCTGTAGAGATGCAGGAGCGGGGTTCCTGTGACAGCCAGGGTGTACACCAAGCACAGAGTGGAAAATACCACCCTCCACACTTCCTCCAGCTGCCCGGGCAAAAACAAACGTGATGCTACCAGCTTGTTTAGTTTGACTGCTAATGTTACCATGTTTGGTGGTCTTTTTAGCGCTCATTTTCCAAGAAGGGAAGGTGACTGAATAAGGCCAAGCATACATTTCTCAGACACTCAGCTTTGATTCCTCTGGTTGCGGAGGAAAGATTGGAAATCTTTTATGCACCCTAGAACCAAAAGCAAAGCAAAAGATACCAGCTCTTATTAATAACATTTATAATTTCAAATAATCATCATTTTCTGTGGTCCAGTGTGCAATTATTGAAAATCTGTATTAGCAACGTTGCAGATTACCTACGCTCTTGGAGGAATATGTAACTTGTGGAAAACCCTCCGTTAAACTCACATAAATTTTTATTTTGTGCTTCTGTTGTTCTCTAGTACTAGGGTTAGCTGGGGGATATGCACATTAGGTAGCTCTGAGAGCTTACCAGCAGTGAGGCAGGAGACCACAACCCCCTTATTCCCAATTGTACCTCTGGCAAGCCCATCTCCTCCTTCCTGCAGAAATGCTCTTTACAGTGAAGGAAAGGAAGTGGTTCTCCCAAGAAACCACTCCTAATGTTTCTTCAACATTATACATCCTACTTCTTTTACCGTCACATAGCCCTCATCCCAAGAACAGGAACTTGACATTAGGCCAGCCTTCTTTCTTTTTTCTTTTTTTTTTTTTTTTTTTTTTTTTTTTTTTTACTTTATCCTTTCATTTTCCTGGGCTTTCAGTCTTGCTCCATGCAAAAATTGGAAGAAAGGGTGAGCAAATTTGCCAGCGCTGCCTCAAGGCTTGACTGGGGAGTGAAGGAGGACTGGCATATGCTGTCCTGCCTTTTCTGCCAGTGGGAAAACTAAATCTTGTCCAGTGGAAAAAGGTTGTTTCAGTAAAACTGTTGACATCTCAAAATTGTGAATGATGGTGAATCCCCCACAACGACTGGTATTTTCCCTTTTTCTGAATGTATGTGAAACAGAATAGCCATCAGCCAGGTAAAGAGCCCAAAATGGAGGGGGGGGGGGTGGTGGTGGTGAAGCTATGGAGCTGAAAAGAAAAGAGATTGGTTGATTGACGAGACAAAGGAGTGAAAAATTCAGAAACTGAGGATAATCTTCCCAGTATCTGGGAAAGGGAGGAGAAATATCTGTGTCTTTCTGGAGGAATGTGAAGTATTCACTGAGCCACCCATCAGAAAATGAATGTATGCCTTTTTTGGCGGGTATTGACTTTCAGGTCTGATGCCCATTATGGCTCAGCAAAATGAACTACAGATTGGGGTCGCAGGACAGGCGGTGATCCTGAACTGCAGAAGCATACCTCATGGCACAGGTGTGACCTGGAAGTACTATAAGGCTGTTATAAGGCAGTTTACAACTGCCCATTTCAAAGGTAAGGCTTCCAATTCATCATCCCTTCTCCCCAGTATATATTTTCCCTCCTAACCAAGCTCATTTTTTCCAAAAGGCAAAGCGACCATGAGCGATCGATCTGAAATCAACCCCAACAGTAAACACCTGAAAGTGTTGGACTTAAGGCTTTCTGATGCTGGCACCTACACCTGTGAATATGGCTCTCATACAGTCAGTATCTCACTGCATGTCTTTAAATGTGAGTAATTAGAGGGCATTTATCCATGAGGATGGGAGGGGGAAGGGGATCATAGAGCTCAGAGAGACATGTCTGCTGGCATTCTTTATCCAGCTGCTATTTCCTCTGGCCTGGGCCAGAGGAATCATAGTTCATTTCTCCTCCACCTCCAGAGCACAAAGTCTCCATATTCTCTTTGCTGTGACAGTTGTCCCTCTCTTGCAGGAAGAGGAGTTGACTTAATGGCTGCGCTTTTTCTTTTTACAGTGACAATCCCTTTAAACGGCCACTTCCTGACAAATGATGCCCCCGAGCTGACTTTAATGCAAAATTCATCTTATCCTCTACCCCATCTCAACATCACATTGTTTAACAGTAACAATAACAGAGTAAGACCAAAGCTCTCACAAAACGAGACCCGTCAAAAATACATACTGATGTTACAGCAACTGGAGGTTACGGACAGCGGGACCTGGATGTGTCACGTCCATTCAGACTCTCCATTGATTAATCAGAACATCTCCTTTGATGTGAAGGTATTAGGTATGCAAGCACAAAAATGCAACTCACACACAGGCTTGGGAACCAGTGCTCCCTCCAGCTCACGAACTGAGCTTTTACTTTGCAGCATCCCAAGCAATGGTGCTTCAGGGTTGATTTCCCAGGGCTTCCAACATTGCAGCTTGGGGATTGCTCTGCTGCCTGAGGTCTGTTCCACACTGGCTCCCTTTTTCCTCTCCAGGTTCACTGTGGAGGGGATCCTTCTCTCCTGGGGTCTGTTCTTCTCAGCTCTGGTGAGCTTGGGAGCTTTGGCTCTTTAACTAATCCTATTCTCGGACACTAACTGTTTATCCCTCCTGGGCTATCTTGTGGCTTTTCTCCAAGTCTTCTTTCAACAGAGCACAGCCTGCGTCTCTGCAGATCAAGGGTGGACAGGGGGAAGTGTAGCCATGCCTTTCTCTGCCTCTGTATTCCTTGTCTCTTCTGAATTCAGGTTTTCAGAATCCAGATTTGGAAAGAAAGTATGCAACTGTTGATAGCCCTGTCATCTTGTCATGGCATCTGAACTTCCAGAAGATAAAATGGAAAGAAGGTTTCACAGGACAACTGACTTGGAAACAACAGGAAAACGCAACCTCTCATGAGCTACTTGATTTCAATGTCACAGCACGAGGAGAGCAGCATGAGACCAAAAAAAGCAGACGCTTTCAGTTTGAGATACCTGAAAGCAAACCTGAAAGTACCATAGAAGTGAAACTCCCCAAAGTCTATTTCAACCACTCTGGGCAGTACCAATGTCAGCTGGTGTACAATGGAAGACACATGCAGAGCAAGATAGAGCTGGTGGTGATGAAAGGTGAGAGAAAGAGAAATGGGTCAAGAGATGAGGAGCTGCAGAAACCTAGAAGCCGCAAGAGTATGGGTGGACCCATCTTCCCATCCTCTCACTCACATGTCCTTTTCTTACCTTTACAGTCTCAGCTAACCCTGTTGGACCACTCCCCAGAGGGGCCAAGATGACCCTGATCTGCCAGGTCTCTAGTCCACTCCCATCCAACGCCCACTTGCGCTGGGAACGTGTGAATGGGACTCAGATGGACATCAAGAACTCAAAGCAGCATGAAATAAAGGTGGAGGTGAACGTCAGTGCTGCAGGGCTGTGGAACTGTCACCTCATAGAAGACAATGACAGGAAGATCAGCCTTAATTACCCTGTGGGTATGGAAATTAGCACCACATCCCTGTCCCCACTCAAAAGCCTTAAAATGCTCTTTGTTTCTGTGTCTGAATAATTCTCTCCTTCCACAGAGGAAGATCCTGTTTGGGTTAGCTATGTGGTAATTGGAGCAAGTATTGGAGGCAGTGTATTGGTGTTTGGCCTTGCATGCCTGTGCATCATCAGTGGTATAAGCTGGCAGCGGAGAAGGGTGAGTGCCCTGGTCCCTGTGAAAGATGAAGAGATGACAGTCTCCCCAAACCATACAAGGATTACAGTTTTCTGTCTGGGTGCAGGTCAGAACAGAAAAAGTGTCAATCCTTAGACTCAAAGCAAACGGTTAGAGATGGGTAGTCTGCAGATGTCATAGAGTACTTTACCACCGCTTCAGAGGAAAGCATCTGAAGCATAAAAATACCCAATCATTATATATCCCTTCTCTCCTGGCAGCAACGGGCGAAAAAGATGGCACGAGCAAGACAATACTTGCTGGAAAACAAGACATGTCAGTGTCAACAGTAAGTGGCAATGAGGGCACCTAGAATGGGTAAAGATTCTGGTTTCAAGACAGGGGAGCTGAGTGGTTGAGTGGGGATGAATGGAGCTTGATCCTGCTTGGTGCTACAGTACAGCTGCATTTCAGGATTTTCAGCTCTTACTCATGTTAAGTCATGCTTAAGAGTTGTGGGCTATGTTTAATGAAATTCCTGTTAGGCCCCAAACCCATGGTAGCATTGTGCTGGGAAACTTTTGAGCAGAGAAGTTACACTTGAATTACTTTAATGTTGAGAGATGTCAGCCAAACCCAAGCAGGAGCTCCAGAGTCCTTTGATTGATAGGTTTCACAGTGGATCTGGGACATGGATGTTGAGGTTGTGGAGGTGGAAGGCATACAACCAAGCTCAAGGATGAAACACAACTTTTAAAAATCCATTATGTCCATGATGTAATTCTAGCTCTGCTTGCACAGTGCTGGACGGCAATCTGTGAAAATTGCCAGCAACTTCCTGGGAGCAAAGAAAGAGGAGAAAAAAATCACAGAACACAGTGAACCACGACCTTTCCCAAAGGCCTTAGGTGATATGAAATACACCAGCACATCCTGGACTTTTTCATGGCAGCAAGAATTTCTTGGCAGAGTAGCTACCCTTTTCCATGTCTTTAAGGCATCAGAAGCAGCTGTGGAGAAACACCACAGCTATTCTGTCACTGGAAGTGGAGAGCTAAGGATAGTACAAATGATTGCATGAACAAGTTCAATTAATGTATAGGTACAGAAATGGACTTCTGCTTAATTTTCACTGGTGACAGTGTCAAACTGTGATAGTTGCCCCTAATTTTTTTTCACTGTCGCTGAGAATTTAGTGAGAATGTTTATTGGCAAATACTGCTTCATAGCTGGGATGTATACATGGTGAAGAGTTGGTTAGCATAACATGTGTCAAAGAATTCACCTCGTTTTCACCTACTTTTTATCAAGGTTAAAAAATGATCCCCATATGGAGAGGACAAAGCCCATACAGCTACATCAAAAGTAGATAAATCTGTGCAATGCAAGTGCTGATACGGTTGTTCTTTAACTCTCTTTGCCAAGAAAGCATCTCAGTGTAACTGAAACCTAAACCACAGCCATGTGGATGCACAAGTAACCATTTGCATCCTCACATACAGAAGTGGGGAGTTGTTCTCTACAAT